TGCTTTTTGTAAATTGTCAGGGTTGTAGAGTACAGCTCAGGATTCAAACTTACAGCAATGATATTTACATTACCACTATTTTAAATTTCTCTTGAGAAAAGTCACTAGGACAGAAAGTGTTCTTTTAATGTCAAGAAACAGGAAGCCCTAGAGGTGCTTTTTCAAGGACCCCAAGCTGTCACTACTAGAAAACCCAAGCAGTCTTGCAGGAGAGTCCTTCTCCCTGATTGATGTAGGGATGAAAGATTCAAGTCCTGCTTTCCTGGTCAACAGGAACTGTTTTTCTGTCTCATTTTATTCTTTGTGTCTTAGTGACAAGAGAAAAGAAAGGTTCACATTTATTTATTCATGCTAAAGACACAAAAAACTATGTTTGGGGAAAAAAATCTAAATATTAGGTACTGTAACCAGGGCAGAATGGGATTCAACTGAGCTAATATGTTCCTCTAAACAAAATCAGATTTAGACATTTCCAATATGATAGCAATTGAAAAGAAAGGTATTTTTTAGTAACTAAAAAAAAGGACTAATGAACACAAATATTCTTTCACCAAATATTGTGAATTATGTTCTTGGGTATTTTGGAGCCATGGATGGAAAACTACCAGCATGTTCATTTGAGTTTCTTAAAATGCTAAATTTACTTCCAAACCTTATCATCATGTTCCTATAATTTCATGTTTTTTTTCCTGTGAAATTAAATTGGATTCAAAGACTACATGAGAAATTACATATAAAAAGTTCATAGAAATATTAGATTCCCCTTTATGAAATGAGGTTTGGAACATAGAACCCCATTTTCTTCTAAAGATTTTTAAATGTATAGTTATTTTTATTATAGAATTTGCTTACATCAATAGTAGTTCTATTTGAATTATGAGGATGACAGTAGAAAAAAATATAAGTAATAAAATGTTAATTTAAATCTTATGTTTTCCCTGATACTATGTATACAAATAAATATTATTTAAAGTCTCTAGATGACATACTGCATGCAAGTCATGTCTCTAGAACTCATTAAATTAAAATAAATTAAAAACCTAAAATCACTTGGTATTTCTTATGAAGAAAAATACGAACTTTAGGAAAATCTAATTTAAAGAACCAAACATTGTTAGATGAAAATATTCTCATTGCACCATACTGAGCACAGTCCTCTGGGCTCAATACAACTGTTATAGCTGATGTCTCCATGGCAGCTAGTAGAAATCTCACTACTAGGCTCAAGAACTCTCCTTCCACAGCCTTTTTTGGACCTACCTGCACTCTGATTGTGCACCTGAAGACACAGAGGCACTCATCCAGATGGCTGAGGAAAGGAGAACTCTTTGCAGCTGAGAAGAGCTTAAAATTGTTTGAACTCCTTGAGTTTTAAGGAACAGACATCTTTAAGTTCTGTCTCTGCAGGAGTGTAGTTTTAATGCCTGCAGAACAGTGACAAGATCCCACTGGAGAACACAGAAGTGTGGCTTCCCCAGCGGAACATGACCCTGTCTGTAAATTTTACTTTATTCCCTGTTGGAATAAAGGGAGAGCAATCTAGGAAGATCTGAGGTCTAAACTTTTCTCTAAGTTCCCTGGACA